ATTTGTAACTAACTTTGTAATATGCTGCATCAACACTCCATTTTCGTTGATTGTAGCCCGGTTGAAAGATATCTTTGTAATGCTCCTATTAATATCTGTAATTTGACGTAATTGATTTTTTAAGTGAATGAGTTTAGATCTTTCCATAAGCCGTACAACCAAAGGATTAGAAAATGCGTTTCTATAATCAAACATAGCAACTTATGAATTATACGAAATAATGTATAATGAGCAAAGTATCAGAGTCATTTTAATATGAAAACAAAATCGTTTTATGTTGCATTTATATGCATGACACGTATGCTATTCACGTCAGCATCCATGTTCTCACGCCATTTGACTTGGCGCGTAGCAAAGATTCACGCCGTTTGACTTGGCGCGTATCAAAGATTCACGCCATTTGAGTTGGCGAGAGTGCATCCTGAGCACGTTAACGCCATTTAAGATGGCGACAACATGCGTGCAATAAATCCAACATAGTTGTTTGTTTATTAATATCAATGTAGTTGTCTCTTATTCAAACAATTGAATATTACTTTGAATATTACTTTGAATATTACTTCAAACAATGCCACAAAATCATATTTCTTGTCTCTTACATTTCAATGGTAATATTTTTACCGACGATAATATTGGAGTGGTCTTTTAAAATACAGATACACATATTTTAAATATTCATAGAAAAAGTGATTTAGCCCACTTGACGAAAAAAAAATAGAAAAAACTTTACAACAACATGTAACTTCTATGTTTTATCGATTTCCAATAGTTAATCCAGTTGATCACAATGTCACATACAACACTGCAAAAATCGAAGACGATGAAGATGTTCGTTCAATGCTTCAATGCCACTCAAGGTTTTACAGTCAACAAACAATGGAGTTGTATATTTGTTTTCAACAACTGCAGGAAGTATATCCAACGCAATCATCACAAACTCATGCATATCAACAAAGTCAGGTCTCCTAACAAGAAGAGTTTGTCCGAGCACAACATAACGAGCCAATATTTCCGGAAGAGGAAGTGGGTGATGATACTGACTCTGACGATGCCAAACAAATTAATTTGTTTAGTGGGTCCAATGACGAGTCAGGTGACGATGACAGACTGGAGGCAGACCCGACTCCTATACTTGATTTATACAACCCCTTATCACTTAAGAAATGTTTCATTTGAATGTGTGAAACCAATTTCAGTCTTTGAACCCTTAGACGAACGTGGGTCACGTGAAGACTTAAAGGTTGGTATGACGTTTGAAAACAAAGAAGCATGTCTCCATGAAATATCTGAGTATCACATAAAATATTCTTATACTTTTAAGGTTTGCAAGTTTGATCCGACACGATATTTAATTAAATGTAAAAAGGAGGGATGCAGCTTCACATGTAGAGCTTTGTTAAGGGAGGGGTGTGGTAAATGGGTTATTGACAGAATTGGAGGGCCAATCACTTGCATGTCGACTGCTAGATCTCAAGATCACCAAAAGCTTGCCTCAAAGATGATCTCCCATAACACCATACCTCTTGTTGACAGTGACGCGGCAATCAAGGTTAGACATATTATTGCCCATATTCGTACGACTTATGGCTACACTGTGTCTTACAAAAAGGCATTGCAAAGAACAAAGCAATCAAAGTTATTTATGGCAATTGGGAGGCCTCTTACAATAACCTTCCGCAATGGTTGTTAGTCATGCAACAATTTCTCTCAGGCACCGTCATAGATCTTGAAACACATCTTGTATATTCAAATGAAGGAACACAAATTGGTGGTGCAAGAATTTTCCATCGTCTTTTTTGGGCATTTCAACCTTGTATTAGGGGTTTCGCACATTGCAAACCTATAGTGGAGGTAGATGGTACATGGCCGTATGGAAAATATAGGGGAACATTGCTCCTGGCTGTTGCACAAGATGGGAATGATAACATTTTCTCAATCGCATATGCATTGGTCGAAGGTGAGACCGGGGGCTTGGAGTTTCTTTCTGAAAAATTTGAGACTCCACGTCACACCCCAATCAGACTTATGTTTGATATCTGATCGACATGAGTCCATTAAGAGTTCCTACAATAACCCGGATAATGACTGGCAGAATCCACCCTCGGTGCATGTGTATTGCATTAAGCACATCGCACAAAACTTCATGCATGCCATCAAGAACAAAAACCTTCGCAAGACAGTTGTTAACATGGGTAATTACTCTCTAATTTTTAACATGGCATTTCAATATATAGTTCTTTTATATTAATATTTTTAATGCTTTTACGCAGGGTATGCAATTAATGAGTCTACATACGCATATTATTGGGAGGAGATCCGCCAAACAAACACAGAGGCTTTCAATTGGATAGAGAATCTTCCAAGAGAAAAATGGTCGCGAGCTTACGACGGAGGAGCACGATGGAATCACATGGCAACCAACCTTGCTGAATCTTTGAACTCAGTGTTGAAGGAAACCTGAAACCTACCTATTACATCACTTGTAAGATTAACATACTACAGGATGGGAACATTGTGGGGTAAGCGAGAAAAGGATTGGACAAAAAATTTGTCATCGGGAAAGAAATTCACAGATAATTGCATGAAAAGAATTGCAGAAGAAGTAGAAAAATCTCACTTGGCTTTTGACCGTGAAAGTCACTATTTCGTGGTTCAAGAGACGGTTAATAATAGGAATTGTCGGTCACTTATTCATTTCAACGTCAACCTCCAAACACGAACTTGTGATTGTGGGAAATTTCAAACTTTTTATCTATCTTGCTCACATGCTATCGCAGCGTGTTCTCACATTAACCACGACTATACTACGTTTATTCCTGACTTGTATAGAGTTATAAACGTCTTCAAAGTTTACATACAAAGTTTCCTCGGTGTTCTCTAAGAAGATAGCTGACCTCCATATTTGGACGATACTCTTTTGCATGATGAAAGGATGCGACGAAACAAAAAAGGTCGCTCTAACAGTACTCGCATTAGAACTGAAATGGACACTGTTGAGAAAATAAAAAGACGGTGTGGAATCTGTCAACAACCACACATGCGGAAAAAAATTCTGCATCGCCTCAACAATGCAAGTCTTTCTAACTAATTTTATCCATGTATTGTTATTTATAACTACTTTTAACTGTATTTTTTATTTAGTATTTTGATTGTAATTGTGAAATTTTATTACTTAATAAAAAAATTATTATTTAATTGTAATTGTTAAATAGTTATTTTAAATTTATAATTATTTAAGTTTTTAAATTAATATTTTATTAATTAATTTTATAATTAAATAGTTTATTAAATTATTTATAATTAATAATAAAATCAAATAATAAAAATTATTAATATAACTAAAAAAAATACAAGAAAACAAAGAGAGAGAGAAAATATTCAGCCCTTTCACGCCATTTCAAATGGCGAGAGCCCTTGCAGCGTTTGTGGATCTCACGTTCGCGCTATTTGAAATGACGTGAATCCCCTGAATGTGGTACTTTTGGCAATTATTTTCGGTAGATAGCATTCCAGAAAATATATTTCAAAAACGTGGCATTCTGAAAAAAATTCGAAAAATAGATCATAAGCATAGCATGTTCTTTTGTCATAAACTTAGCTTTCTAACCGTACTTGTATTGGTAGATCAAAAAAATTGATGGTATTATGGTAAAAAGAATGTTGTACTTACTACTTATAAAGCAGCATCAAAATTAAAACTATTTTTATCATAAATTCTATAAAGTTTTTCCAATGAAAAGATCAATCATCCTCTCATTAACATCCTCTCACATAAACGATCTCACATAAACGATCTGTACATCCTCTCACATAAACGATTTTAACCATTTACCTGCACAACGCACATTCTTTCACGCTATATAAGAAAGAACATGCGTTGCTTTGAAATTGATTTAGACATTTGATTGAAATTGATTTAGGCATTTGAAATTTGAAATGTTAGCGTGCAAATTAAACCCCTCTCCGCACCATTGATCCAAGATCTCATCTCACTGTCTCATCCATCATTTATACACGACATGACACATGGTACTATTAGATATTCTGTACGGTATAACATATTTTCAAACCATTATGTTACATTACTGAAATTAATGACACATGTGCCATTCAACACCAGTAATCAATAAAAACAAAAGGGTATGTAGCAAAACACCAGTACTATATAACATTGACATGCGAAAATAAAAAAGAGCAGAAGAAAACAAAGCACTAAAGACTCAAACACAAGAATCAAGTTCAGCCGCCTAATAATACTAATGTCAAAGAAAAAGAAAGATACTATTACTTTCAATATACTGAAGAAGAACAATTACAATCCTCTCCCTATTGATTTGACCATCTTCAACTTTAAAAAGACAAAGACAACGTGTGCCATTTAATCAGGACCCCACAAAACATACAAGTTGGTCACGTATTTGAATAAGCATCTTAATTGGCATATGCCAAAACAACTGTAATGGTAGGGTCTATTTCACATGGAAAATAAGATAAGCACAACAAAGTGCTGCATAAGAAGACAAAAAACTTTCATCTCCAAAGGGCCATTATTCAGATTCCTTAACCATCAATATGGAGGAACATTAAGGTATGTCTCAGTAGCACAAAAAAAATGAAAATGAATAATGGAATAAAGTACAATTTATAAGAGATTATAACAAAATCTTATTTATATCACAGAAGTACATATAATATAATATAAATAGTAACAACAATATAATAGAAGCTAAGAGTGATGAAAACACAAGAGGGTTGGTTGGTTTGTTACATTATGGAAACATAACATCCACATGATTTATTGCCACATACCAGAACAAGACCTGACAAGCATTATAATATCTATAGACCTAAACGATTACATGTGAAGAAAAATGCAGTAAACTAAACTACCTTTGATTTTTGAGTCAAGGGAGTTTCACATGATAAGAGTGTGTGTGTGTCTCTATCCCTTAATAAAAAAAGCCATTGGTACACAAGTTTTTGCTTCCACTTGTCATTTTTCAGTTGTACCATGTTGGACCATCTGGTTGTTTGTGAAGATTTTCCATTCCTACTACTCCTTGTAGTTGTTGAATATCCTCCCTAAAATCGAAGGATGCCAAATCACATGGAGAGCCAATCATGAAATGGAGGTTATTGTTGTTGTTGGGGTGGTTGGTTTCGAAAGGAGTGGTTACGGCTTTGAATCGGTCGAATTGACTTTCCTCGCGAGTAAAGAAGTTTGCTGCTTCCATCACCATTCCTTGACTTGAAAAGAAATTCTCCTGTTGTTGCTGCTGAATGGTGTGCTGTTGTTGTTGCTGAATGTTGTGCTGGGAAAGGTTTTGATTTCCGACGGTTGCACAATTGGTTGAACTTGCGTTCTTGTTTCCTATAATATTTGTGTCATAGACTGACATAAGGTCGCTGATCATTTTCTGGCTGTCCTCTGAAACTCCGAGTCCGGTTAAATCAAATGAAGGTGGAACCAGACTAGTAGGCTGAGCTGCAGAATTTGGTTGAACAAAGCTTTGCAGACTAGCAGGCTGAGCTGCAGAATTGGGTTGAACAAAGCTTTGTGGGAAAATAACGGGCTTAACCTCGGTAGCATGAAAATTAGGGCCGCCATAATCTGCAGAACCGATTCTATGTGGACAATTCAATTGATGATTGTCCCTAGAAGGCCTGTCTTGAAAAGCAAGGCGAACATCGCTGTAAGGGCATTGAGGATGTTCACATGTGTAGATTTTGTGATCCATCATTAAGTTGAAGTCGCTAGAGATCTTTCTCTTCCGAATGAAATCCAAGTTGGTGATAACCTCTCCCTTGATTGGTGGAGAAGGTTGCTGAACCGGAAACATTCCCCTCATTCTCTCCATCCCAAGATTGGATGGATGAAGATTCTCGGGTTTTCGGTCCTCCACATCAAAATTGGACTCATCCTCAGGCCCATCAACATCATACTCGCTGCAATCATTGATGACCATAGAACCGCTGCCTCCACCAGAAGACATCGGAGGGCAATAATCGGGATAAAGCTCTCGAGCTAAGGACTCCTCTTGATTGATGATGGCCAGCCAGGTAGCACTTTCTTTGGCCGTCATTTTATCTTGAAGGCATTTGGACTGCCTCACGAGCTTGCGAATCTTGGCTATATCAGGAGACATGTGCTTGATAACTGCAGTTAAAACACCAACTTTCCATGCTTTTTTCAGGTCATGAGGTTTCTTGTAAGGTGGAGGGCCTTGATCTTTAGGTAAACCAATTTGGGGCCACCACTCTTCGGTCCCGCTTGGCCACCATGGCGGAGGAAGACCCTTCTCTAATGGGAAACGCCTCTGAGGAGGATCACAGTGCTGCATAAGTGCTGATAAGAGAGAACCTAAGGTTGTGTCCTGTAGTTCTTGTAAGGTATGAGGAGTAGGACCGATGGAATTGCAGCCATCATTCTTCCCTGGAATTGCGTTATCCACTTGATATTTAGCTATCGCAGCCGGACCGTTCCTATCGAACCTAACCTTATCCTTCCACCATTCACGAAGATTGTCAGATGCTCCGGTCACCGGTTTTCCCTTCTCAGGAATTATCCCGTAAACAAATCCTTGTGCCTTACAAACCTCCATCATTTTCAGCATGTACTTCAATATTCCATCTTGAGCTCTCGACATCTTTTTCCTCCTTGCCTGTTCTTGAGACTGCCTTGCCTTGGCCGCATCAATCCCTTCTTTAGCCTTGGTTTGTTCTTTCAATCGCTTGAGACGCATTTTGTCCCTCCACATCCTACGCTCAAGCTCATCCACATCCATTTCTTCATCACTGTAATCATCCTCAACTACCGAATCCGGCTCAGTTTGCCTGACAGAAATATCCCCTTCCCCAAGTGTACCACAGAACATATCCAAATCACCACAAAACCCCATGTCATCAAACATCATCATCTTTTCTCAGGAAAGCACCTCTAAAGATATCCCAAATTTCCAGAAAATTCAGCTTTAACCTGTAAATTGGGTTTCAAATTCACACTCTAACTACCAACTCAAGTCAACGAGTTATCAACCTTTTTTCAAACCTATCAAAACACAAAAAACAAAGAACAAATTAGACGGAGCAAAGATCATATGATACACTCTAGACAAAATGAATGACAAAAACATCAAATCTACACAAAAATCCCAATTAAGATTCACTAGCCGCCAAATTTGTAAAACCAAAAACTTTTTTTTCTCTCAACTAGCAATATGCCAGAGTCTAAAAAAAACAAGAACATGGACTTCAGAAAATATGAAATTGACCGACCACACCATTAAATCCACACTTCAATAAAAAAAACACTAATCAATCATCAATACACAATAGATCAGAAGCAGGGCTATCAATAACTGAACAGATCTAATCTAAATCACATACAAACTAAACTTGAAATTTTCAAAAACCATAAATATAGAACAACCTTCGATGACAATATTCTAAAAAGATTCTCTCATAAACCCATCATCAAACACATGGTGGATGACTAACAAAAACAAAACCAAAAAAAAAAAGTCTCAACGAATAAATTTCCATTAACATCATCAAAACTGATCCGGAAACAAATCAAAGAAACTTTAAAAACAGGATCTAACACCAAACCAATCACAATCATTAACAAAAGTAACATGAAACTAAGAAACATGCAATAAATTCAACTGTTTATCAATAAAAGAAAAATCTTAAAACTTGAAAAATCATCAACACATACAATAACAACAACAAAACCCTACAAATTGTATTGAGCACAAAAAAAAAAGTAGCAAAATGGAAGTGAAGAGTAAAAAAGATGAGATTTTGATTGATGAGAAGAATCTTACCAGAAAATAGAGAAATGGGTATTTGAGAGTGGTGACCAGTGGTCAATAAGGGAGGGGAAATTTGGAGAAAAGGAAGATATAGAGATAGAAAAGGTGGAGGAGGAGAAGAAGAAGGAAGGTGAGAAGAAAGAGAGAGAAAGAGAGTTAGAAAAAAAACATGACACAGAGGGTGGTGAGCATTATCTTGGTTTTAATATAATGTTTTGATGTTATTCATTATTGTTGGAGTTTAATTTATGTAGTGGTAGATTGTTATTTTTTAATTAATTAATTTTAACATATGGTATTAAGAAATGAATAGTGTATTTAACGTGTTTAATTTGTGTATCATCAATACTAGCTTTATTGTATATAGACGTCTTCATGTCTAATTTCTTACTTCGTTTTTAGTTTTATTATACATTAAGAAATAACTCAAAAAGAATAAAGTTTTACTAAAACAATTGTTAATTATTGTTGTATTCTTAAAAAGTAGGATACACAAATATTTTTAAAAGGATGTGCATGCTATTAACTATATTGTGCAATTAAAAATAATTTTTAAAAATGGTATTTTAAAAATAAATAAATTTTATGTGAGAGATATTATTTAAACAGATATGTACTAGTTGAGTTAATAAATATAAAATTATTATTATAAATATTAAATTTTGCATTTTTTTATAATTTAAAGAATCTAGAGTTTCTAGAATGCTTTGCCAATAATTAAATAAATTTTGTATTATTTAAATATAATTAAATGGATATTTTAAACATAAATTTTACTTTTCTACAAATATAATAAGATAAAAGTAGTTATGTAATAACATTGTAAATTAACTTTATACATTGACAACTTTATATTATTATAAATTACATTTTAATTTTAAATTTTTTTTAATAATAAAGTAATTTGTTGACTTCCTATTAGATAATAGTGTAAAATAATTTTATATTATTATTACATATAAATTAAACTCACATAATTATATTTAAGAAATATTGTATAATTAAAAATTAATAAATTTTATGAAATTTTTATTATAAATTTAATCTTTATTATTAAATAAATGAAGTATTTAACGTGTATTTATCTATCGTGTTTAATTTGTATATTCTCAATACTAAAAATATTAAAATATATTGTTTATGTAAAATGTTATTAGGAACATTTTAAGTATTTTATATAATTTTATATAAGGTATTGTTTTTTATTTTTTATTGCATTGTATCTAGACGTGTTAATCTCTAAATTCATTTCTTTTAATTTTATATTATTTTATATATGATATTGTTTTTTATTATTTTATTTTCTTTATTTATTGTATTGTATGTAGACTTGTTTATCTCTAAATTCTCTTTTTTTTTAATCATATAATTTTATATACGGTATTGTTTTTTATTATTTTCTTTTTTTATTGCATTGTATGTAGATGTCTTTATCTTTAAATTCATTTTTTTTATTTCCTTTTTTTTATTGCATTGTATGTAGATGTGTTTATCTCTAAATTCATTTTTTTCAATCTTATTTAAATAAATTTTTAGATATTTATAGTAAATAATAGAGTACTAATATTTTTAATATAAATTAATTTAAAATTTAAAATTATTTTAAAATAAAATAATTATAAAATTAAATAATAATATTTGACTAGATAAGAGTATCAGTATTCAATTAAATTCAGAAATACTGAATAATTCACCTTTTATATACAGATTAACAAATAATAGAAAAGGAATGACCATTTTACTTTAAAAAGTTGTTAATTATTGTTGTATAATTATTATGTAGGATAAAATCATTTTTAAAGTTTGCATGTGATATTAGATATTGTTTAAAAAAATATTATGTGTATACTTTATAAATAAATTAATTAAAAATATATTTAAAATGATGTTTTAAAAATTAAAAAAATTCATATTGTTTAATAGATATGTACTAATTAGGATAAATAAATATAAATTATTATTATAAGTTTCAATATCTATATGTATATTTTATAATTTAAATAGGTGTATTTAGAATGCTTCTAGAATACTTCGCCAAAATATAAATAAATATATATTTTAAATTTAATTTTCACATTTATAAATATAATTATATTTAAATAAATAATTGTATTGAATAATTAAAAATATTTTGGATTGGACCGACACTTGTCTCATCATTAGGGAGGTTCAATCCAGCGTTTTTACTAAAGCTTCAAAAGCATATTATCCAAATGAAAGATTGATGGGCATTTTCCCACGTGTTCACTAGGAGTAGGATGTCAATGGGGCGGGGCGGGGCCGGGGGGACACTTCTCCATCTTTTTCTCCACCATCAAATTCATTCCCCGTCCCCGATCTCCGTCACGGGGGAATTTCTATCCTCATCCCCGTTCCCCGCGGATCCCCGTTCCCCGCGGGGATCCCCATAGATCCTAGATTTATTCATTAATATTTTATTTTTTTAAAATGTTTATATTTTCTATAAAAATAAAAAACACAAAGAATTCACATATTTATTATGTTATTAAAAAATACTAGTATTTGACATTTATTATTTTTTATTAAAAATACTAATGGAACACAAAATAATAATATTTTTTTTATAAATTTCTATAAAATGCTATAAAATTCAACAAAATGAACTATAATACTTTTTAAAGTAACAATATGCCTAAACAACTAAAAAAATCCAACAACATAATTATGCTTAAAAAACTATACTTCATCAAAACTAATAAGGGATAATTATAAAATTTAGCATCATGAGTATGCTTGAAAAGCTAAAAAATACTTCATAATAAGTCAACTAAAAGCAAAAATGAAACGCTTCAACTTTTTTAGGGTCTAATATTTACATTTCTCTCTCTTAATAAATACATGAATATTTATTTATTTATTTTTATAAATAAACATAAAGGAAATGACTAAAAAACCTAATCTAAAATATATATATTAAATTAACTATATTAAAATAATAGGCGGGGCGGGGTCCCCGCGGGGCGGGGGGTGTATTCCCCGTCCCCGTCCCCGAAATGCTCTCAGGGGAATTTTTCTCCCCATCCCCGCTCCCACGGGGGAAAATTCCCCATCTTTGGGGCCCCGAACGGGGCGTTCCCCGCGGGGATCCCCATTAACAGGTCCAAACTGACATCCCTAACTAGGAGAACATAGCCCACGTGTCCATATCATCATCATCCTGTTCATCGGGAATAACAGGTTCAACTTCTGCTTTCTTGGGGCAGTTGACGAAGGAGGAGGCCACGAGCTGGACTTCATACTCCCGTAAACCCTGTCAGTCTTCTTCGTTGGACCTCATCGTGGCCCAACACTGAAGACCTTGGTCCACCGTTGAGGGTTATAAATACCTTTTTTCTTGAGAGGGTCAGGTATTCAATCACTCACATATTTTCATACTTGCTTGCATTTGCTCTGAACCTCACTTTGGCATCAGAGTGTCTTGCAGGTACCCCCCCCCCCCCCATTCACATTCAACTACCGTTCGACTTGAAGCTTGTGGGCTTTGACAATATCTTCTGATCAGGTACGATCAGTGACACCGTCTGTGGGAAACCAACTTCTGCGTCTTCATCTCAAGACCAAAGCAACTCTTTATCAAACTGTGTGATTGTCATGGTCACCAAGCTGTCAATAATAACCAAAACGCCCATCTCACTGATCCCAACAACAACATTGGCGACAATAACATTGGCAACAACAACACGGGAAACGACATCGATGTGGCCAATCCCAAGTAAAACTACAGAGACAGACTGACTGCCTCTTCATCAACATGTTGGCAACCGCGCGAGGACGACTATCATCCTCCACAGAACTATAAATCAAATGCATACCATGAGGTCCTCGTCCTTGCAGGTGCTAACACCATGACCAGAGCTCTGTTCGCGTCAATCAACCAGACTAACTACATGATCTTCTCACAGGGTGAGCGGCTGAGGATGCTCGAGCAAACTCGTCGGCCCCCTAAAAGACACAGGAGACCTGACACTCCTCATCCTTGATAGCACGAAGACCTTCCCCAATCTTCCCCGCGGAGACGCAAATAGGATGGCTTGTGAAGCCCTTCTTTTCGACGAATTGGGCGAGGCCCTGCGTTGGAGAGGAGCCAGCCTAAAGCTATGGGGAGGCGTGGTCACACCCCCCGCACAGGGAGCGACGATCCCCTGGAAACAACAAAAACATGGAAATGGAGAAAGACCAATCTCGGTCAAGGGATCCTCCCCGTGGCCAAGACCATCACAACGATCGCCGCTACAATCGGTCCCCCTCCCGCTCTCCAGACACAAGTGACAAAGATGACCCCAGTGGTCCATTGTCCCAAGAAATCATGGAGACTCCTATTCCTAGGAGAATGGAGAAACCTCCCTTACTAAAGGAGTACGACAGTATTGCTGATCATGTCAACCATATCGACAGATTTGAAGCAATGCTCACTACTACAATGTCGGGGGGCCAATTAAATATCGGTTGTTCCCCACGACACTGAGAAAAACAACCATGGAATGGTACAAGAACCTCGCCCCCGGGTCGATCACCTCCTGGAGGAGCCTCAAGAACCAGTTCATCAGCAGTTTCACCGCATCTCGTCAACATCCAAAGATTGAGGCCGCCCCTGAGGCAATCGTCCAGAGAAGCAACGAGACCCTCAAGGAACACATTGATCGGTTCAACCGCAAGGCTACTCTGGTCCAGTGCGTCGATCACATGAAAAATTACCTGCTCGAGAGGGGACTCCTTCCGGGCATTAAATTTAGAAAGGTCGTCAGCATTGAGCCTCCCCGGTCTTTTGACGCTCTCCTCGAAAAGGCCCGGCCATACATGGACTACGAGGAAAAAGAAGCAGTCAATGAAGCCCACGATTCGAGGAATCACGGACCAACTAACATCCTGTGGCACTAGGACACGGGCCCTTCTTGACAGACTGGGGAGAAGAGAAGGGAGGAGAAACCGCGTGATCCCCGCGAGCATAGAGGACCAGCAGGGCGGTTCACAGAGTACACCCTACTAACCGCTTCCCGCGAGTGTATCCTTATGGAGTACTCTAATACCGAGTTCAAGGACGGCGGAGTCAAACGTCCTTGACCCGCTCTTGTAAAGCCCGAGGCTGAGAGAACAAAATATTGTTAGTACCATCAGAGCCACGGGCACTTGACAGAAGATTACATCCACCTCAAGGATGCCATCGAGACTCTCATCAAGGGTGGAAGACTCAGGCAATATTGATGCAACGAAGTCCCTCGCCAGGACACCCGCGAGGTAAAAGAAATCAAGGAAGAAACCCGACCGTCTGATGAATCGGGTCCCCTCCAGGTGGCTTTCTCTGTGAATAGGCCTGAAGACTTCCACGTCCACGACAGCTACGAGGATGAACCATTGT